TTGAGGCTGTGAGCTGTGAGTAAAGTCCTCCTGGAAAGGTGGTCTCCTTCAGCTGGCCTCTCAACCAATGTTAATAGAGTGAGTGGATATTAATTTCTGCCCAGAACTATAAACAAGTTATTCATCTTTCCTGGACTTACCCAACCTAGGAAGTTGGGTAAGAACCTATGATCAAGCTGGGTGCTGGTGGCTCACACCTGTAATCTTACTTACTCAGGGGGCTGAAATCTGAGGATCATGGTTCAAAGGCAGTCTGGGCAGGAAAGTCTGTGAAACTCTTTTTTTTGGGGGGTCCAGTCATGGGGCCTGAACTCTGGGCCTGGGCGCTGTCCCTCAGCTCTTCAGCTCAAGGCTAGCACTCTACCAGTTGAGCCGCAGCGCCACTTCCAGATTTTTTTCTTTTTCCTTATGTGGTGCTGGGGAATAGAACCCAGGGCCTCATGCATGCAAGGCAAGCTCTCTACCACTGAGCCACCTTCCCAGCCCCTATGTGAAACTCTTATGTCCAGTAAACTACAAAGAAAAAGCTGTGTAATAGAGCACTAGCCTTCAGAAAAGGAAGCTCAGACACAGTGGCCAGGCCCTGAGTTCAAACTGCAGGATCGACCCCCTGCCCTCCCCCCAAAAATAAAGAAAAAGAAAAAAAACTATGCTTAGGGGTTGAAGGTATGAGTTAATATTTAGTGCTGGCCAGTGATCAAAAATGTTGGTTACTGGGGCTGGGAACGTAGCTCAGCGGTAGAGTGCATGCCTTGCAAGCATGAGGCCCTGGGTTCGATTCCTCAGCACCACATAAACAGAAAAAGCCGGAAGTGGCGCTGTGGCTCCAGTGGTAAAACGCTAGCTTTGAGCTGAAGAGCTGAGGGACAGCGCCCAGACCCAGAGTTCAGGCCCCATGACTGGCAAAAAAAAAAAAAAATGTTGGTTACTGAGTTTGAGTCCTGGTCTCACAGTCCCATACCCCGGCCCCCCCAAAGAAAGAAAACTACCTATGCTCAGTAATAGAGCACTTACCTAGCATGCACCAGGCCCTGAGTTCAATCCCTTGTCACAAAGGGGGTAAAAAAGTCTATGTAAAAAAAAAAAAAGTGGCCAGGCACTGGTGGCTCACGCCTGTAATCCTAGCTACTCAGGAGGCTGAGATATGAGGATCGTGGTTCTAAGCCAGCCCGGGGAGGAAAGGCTGAGAGACTCCTATCTCCAATAAACCACTGAAAACCAGAAGTAGCACTGTGGCTCAAGTGGTAGAATGCTAGCCTTGAGCTTAAGAGCACAGGGATAGTACCAAGGCCCAGAGTTCAAGCCCCAGAACTGGCAAAAAAAAAAAAAAGTTTTAAAAGTGTTTAGCTACATGTGGTTGTACGTGCTTATGATTCCAGCACTCTGGACAAAGGCAGGAGGCTCTGGAGTTTGAGGCTACCCTGGGCTATATAAATAGGGAGACCCCATCTCAAAAAAAAGGGGGGCTGGGAAAGTGGCTCAGTGTCGAGTGCTTGCCTCCCATACATGAGGCCCTGGGTTTGATTCCTTAGCACCACATAAACAGAAAAAGCTGGAAGTGGTGCTGTGGCTCAAGTGGTAGAGTGCTAGCCTTGAGCTGAAGAGCTGAGTGACAGTGCCCAGGCCCAGAGTTCAAGCCCCAAGACCAACAACAACAAAAAAAATGTCTTAGGGGGCTGGGAAGGTGTCTCAGAGGTAGAGCGCTTGCCTTGCATGCCTGAGGCCCTGGGTTCGATTCCTCAGCACCACATAAGCAAAAAGAAAAAAACCAGAAGTGGCGCTGTGGCTCAAGTGGTAGAGCACTAGCCTTGAACTGAAGAGCTGAGGGACAGCGCCCAGGGCCAGAGTTCAGGGCCCAGGGCCAGAGTTCAGGCCCCACGACCAGACCCCCCCCCAAAAAAAATGTCTTAGCCAGGTGTTAGTGGCTCATGCCTATAATCCTAGCTACTCATGAGGCTGAGATCTAAGGATTGCAGTTTGAAGCCAGTCCAGGCAGGGAAGTCTGTGAGACTCTCTTCTCTATGCTACTACCAAAATCCAGAAGTGGAGCTGTGGCTCAAGTGGTAGAGTGCTAGTCTTGAGAAACAAAGACAAAAACTCAGGGACAGCACCCTGAGTTCAAGCCCTGGGACTGGAACACACACACAAAGTCTATCTTTGGAGGTTACTGGTAGAACATGGCCCATGATTCCACCCCAGCACTGCAAAGGCTGGGGAGAAGTACCTTGCCCTTTTACCTGGATACTGACTACATGCCTGCCATATAGCAGAAGGTTTAACTGGCACACTGTATGCAACTAAGAAATCACAACTTAGCACACAGGAGCCTCTCCTAGTCTGCATGGTTCCTGCAGGAAGATATTCAGAATCTTCCACAGATTCAGAAGATGAGGGCCCTGGGAAAAGTGGGTAACTCTGCCCCAGGGGACTCATAAGAGGATTAAGGCCACATCTGGCTGGGGAATGAGAAGGCTTTCTGGAGGTGAAGGCATCCTAGTCGAGTTCCTAGGGAAGCAAGTTAAGGGTTTGGGATCATTACGAGAGAGAAGCTTGAAGTGAGGAGAAAATCTAAGTACTTATTTACTTGTTTTGCCAGTACTGGAGCTTGAACTCATTTCTTGGCTTTTCCCACTCAAGGCTGGTGCTCTACCACTTGAGCCATACCTTCCAGTTCTCAATGAGAAAATTAAGCTAGTTGGGGTGCAGGTTGAAGCAGAGGGACCCACACAAAGGGAGAACTCGGGACAGCATAGCCTGGGGGCTCCCTCACTTTTACCCTCTTTCCCGACTCCCCAGATCAGCCCCGAAGAGGAGGAGCGCCGCCGAGTGCGGCGGGAACGGAACAAGCTGGCCGCGGCCAAGTGCCGAAACCGGAGGAAGGAACTGACCGACTTCCTACAGGCGGTGAGCCCCGGCCCAGGGGGAGTGTCCACCGAGCCTGAGGGGTGTGTGTGCAGGGAACCTCGGCTCCCGGGAGCCCAAATCTGGTTGGCAGTCTTCTAAGATGCCCCGGGTCCGATGGCAATCGTGCCCATTTTTCTCCCGGGGGCTCATGGGAATTGCAGTCCAGAATTGCAGAGGCCTCCCGCCCCCACCCCCACTCTGTCAGAGGCGTGAGGTCTCCGTCCTTAGCTTCCCTAACCCCTCTCCTGATCCTCTACAGGAGACTGACAAACTGGAGGATGAGAAATCCGGGCTGCAGCGAGAGATTGAGGAGCTTCAGAAGCAGAAGGAACGCCTGGAGCTGGTGTTGGAAGCCCACCGCCCTATTTGCAAAATCCCGGAAGGAGACAAGGACAGGGACACAGGAGGACCCAGCAGTGCCAGTGGCACCAGCAGCCCACCAGCACCCTGCCGCCCTGTGCCTTGTATCTCCCTTTCCCCAGGCCCTGTGCTGGAGCCAGAAGCTTTGCACACCCCTACCCTCATGACCACACCCTCTCTGACTCCTTTTACCCCCAGTCTGGTTTTCACCTATCCCAGTACACCAGAGCCTTGTGCCTCAGCTCACCGAAAGAGCAGCAGCAGCAGTGGGGACCCCTCCTCTGACCCCCTGGGATCCCCTACCCTCCTTGCCTTGTGAGACACATGCTCTGCAGGAGCTACTCTAGCTATTTCCTTTCCCCTATTGGTCCAGCTGGTCCGGACCCATGCCATGCTCAGTGCCCACTGGTCTTCCATTCCTCCAGATGAGACAACATAGTCTGATTCAAGGTAAAACCAGCTTAGGGAAACCAAAACCACCCACTATTTCTTTGGGGCGGGGCTGGTCTATTACAAAATGCACTTAATCAGAGATAAAAATATTTCCTGCCAGCGGCTCACACCTGTAATCCCAGCTTCAGGATCTGAGGATCACAGTTCAAAGCTAGCCCAGGCAGGAAAGTCTGTGAGACTCTTCAGTTAACCAAAAAAGCTCTAAGTGGAGCTGTGGCTCAAATGGTAGAACACTAGTTTTGATCAAAGAAACACAAGGACAGTTACCCCAAGGCCCTGAGTTCAAGCCCCTGAACTGGCACTGTGTGTATGTCCCATTTGTGCCAGAGTAATCCTGGCAGCCCAAGACTGCGGATCCCCAGAGGTTCTCTGGGGCTCTACCTCCTGGCAGACTCCATCACCCGCTTCCTGTGGTGCACCCAGAATGACGCTGACAGAGGTGCCCTTTTACAAGCCTAAAACACTAATTCATCCAGCCCCACTTCCAGCAGCACCAGATGATTGGACTAGGGAGATCTGCGGACTCTTCCTGAACCGGCGCAGCTGAGGAGGTGCCAGAGGGCTTGGTGAGGAGCTTGGTCGGCAGCCCCCAGCTCTGAGAAGCCTTTAGCGCCTGGGAATCCAAGCTTTCACAGAGAAGACAGCTATTTATTTTCCTAAAGAGAATATTTTTATACAAACCTGCCAACATGGAATAAAAGGCTTGAAGCTCTGGCCTGGGTGTCTGCTTGGATCCAGAGTCTAAAGGACACCACGGGAGCTAGACGGCCTGAGTTCCGGCCTCCGCCCCTGACTCACACTGCACGGCCTTGGACAAACTTCCCGTACTTTGGGACCAGGATTGGCTTATCTCATGAATGGGGTTACATCCTCATCTCCTCCACGGAGAGAATGCTCTGGGATGCAAGCAAAGAGGATTATCATCCTTCTCCTCATGGGGGCCCACAGAGCCGCGTGAGCACGCGGGGCGGGGTGGGGGTTGTGCTACGCCCCCCTTCCACGCTAAGCAGCCAGCCAGTGGGTTTTAGGCCCCCAACACCTGCTTCCTGCCCCATTGTCTTGGACAGGAAGGAGCCGGGAAGGGAGCTAGAGCCACTTCAGGGGCGGGATGACTGCCCGTCCTGGCGCCCAAAGGGGGAAGTCAGTGCTTTACCACTGTCCCATATTCTGCCCCAGATAATGGGAGTTCACAGCCCCTCCTGACGGGAGCGGTACACTGTCGAGGCGTTCCCGCCCTCTCCCCAACCGCGGCGAACCTCAGACAAATTGCCCAGACTTCGGGCTCCGCTTCGGTCCCTGTTTATTAGTCCCCCCCATCCAGCCCCCCCAGTAAGTCCCACCAATCACACCTCCAGTCCCCCCTGCTGCCCCGCCAGCGAGTGCGAGGGGCCCTCTCTAGCGCCAGGGTTTCTTAGGCCCCGTCAGCGGCTCCAGGTGCACTCCCCCCCCAACCCCCGAGGACGCGTCCTAGTTCGGGGGTTCACAGCAATCGCAGCGCTCCGGGAGCAATCTGGACGGGCGCCGCGTGGAAGCAGCAGCTCCCTCAGTCATCGGGGGAACAGGCCAGGGGCAACTGATCGGGGCTGCCCACGCTGCCGGTGCTGGAGCTGCCGTCGCCTAGATCGCGGGGCCCGCAGGGGGGCAGGGCGAGCTCCGGTGTCGGCGCGGCGCCCGAGCCCCCCGCGCCGCCACTGCCGCCGCGGGGCCCCCACTCCTCGCCCAGAGCCAGGCAAAGCTCCTTCAGCGCCAGGTTTTCCCGCAGCAGCTCCTCCTGGCGGCTCTCCAGCTCCGCTAGCTTCTGCCAACAGCCGCCCAGGTCCTCGCGCACCGCCCGGGAGGCTTGGGTCCCGAAGAGCTGCCACTGGCGCGCGGCGCGCCGCCCCCGCTGGCGCTCCGAGTCCAGGAAGCAGCAGAGGTCGCGCAGCTCGCGGTTCTCGGCCTGCAGGCGCCGGTTGAGCTGCTTGAGCTCGCGGATCTCGCCCAGGTGACCCTGCAGCTGCCGGTTCACCTCCTGCATCAGGCGGCCGCGCTGCACCAACGCCGCCAGGCGCGCCGCCTCCTCCCGCCGCAGACGCCGCACCAGCTCTTCCTTGCCCAACGCCGCCATCTCCTCATCTGTCAGCTCCTCCAGGCCGCCTGCCTCGGCCTCCATGGCTGGTCAGGCTGCTGGAGCATCGCCCGCCCGCCCCCGCGGCCCGGGAGCCCCTCGTCAGCTGGGCACCGATCCGGCTCCCGCTCAGACTCCGCAGGCGGCCGGCAGTGGCGGAGGCAGCGCAGGCTGCAGCAGCCACCCGGGGGTGGGCACGCGGCGAGGCGCGCGCGGGGGCGGGGGCTGATGGCGACACGCGAGGACAGCCAATCAGGAAGCCTGCCCGGAAGGGGGCGGAGCCCGAGCGCCGGGCGCTCCTTCCCTCCCACTCGCGACCCCCGCAGTCGAGACCGCCGCGCACAAGGATTTCCCTGCGCCTTGTCCTCCTCCTTCGATGATCAGAATCCGGTTGAAGGCACTGCGTTCCTCCAAGTTGTACATCTCCTTAAGCCCGAGCTTAGACCTCTCAGCCACCTTTTTTGAGACCCAAGATTGGGGGTGCCCAACCGTGACTCCTCACCACCACTTGAAGGAATACAGACTAACGGCCTCCCTCCTTCCTTGGACCTGGAGAATCTTGGATAAATGTCACTCCCAGCTACTCTGAATCTTAAATCCAAACGCAGACTCTACCAAAAAACTACACTCCCCCCCTCCCTTCCATGGAGGTTTCCTGTTTCCTGAGGGCAACTGGGTGGGGAGACATCCAAGAGATTCATTTGTTCAGTAAACCTTTATTGTGTGTAATGCCCACGCAGAAATAAATTTGGCCAAGATTCTGATCTTGATCCCTGAAGAGGTTCTAGCAGTCTGTCAGAGGAAAAAGCAAAAGCAAATGAAGGCAGAAGACTGGAGTATAGCTGCAAGCACTAGGCCTGGGCTTATTTCCAGCATTGGGAGGGGGAAAAAAGGAAAGGGAGAGGGTGGGGCAAGGGAGGACCATAGTAGAGTCTCAGGAATTGACAAGAGTTGATAGCTTAGGGGCCCTGAAAGATTTATGACTTTTCCAGGTAAAAAGAAGGCTATTTAAGTGAGAATGCTGATTTAGGAACCATGACCAGCCTGGCAAGAGTGGCTCACGCCTGTAATCCTACTCAGGAGGCTGAGAACTGAGGATCAAAGCCAGCCTGGGCAGATAAAGCCCTCAAGAATCTCTTATCTCCAATAAACTACTCAAAAAAGCCAGAAGTGGCACTGTGGCTCAAGTGGTAGAGCGCTAGCCTTGAGCACCAAGAGGCTCAGTTTGATGTCCTTATTCAAATGTAGAGGAAGCCAGGTTCTTGCATACCCAGGATTAAACTCAGGGCATGAATTCAGATCTGGATTGCTCCAGCTCAAACTCTACCACTGTAGCCATACATCCAGCCTTAGCTTTCACTGGTTATTTTGGAGATGGAGCCTGACACTTTTCTTCTTGGGTTGCCTTTGACTTGTGATCCTCCAGATGTCAGCATCCTGAATAGCTAAGATTACAAGCCAGGGACATAGTCTGTATCTAGTTAGAATCCAGGTTCTTAAAACCTTTTAGTACTTGATTGGAGAGTGACCAATTGGAATTTTGAACAGTTCCTTTGAGATAGGGTCTTAGGTGTGTAGCCCACACTAGCCTCCCCTAAAGTGGTATTACAGGCATGCACCACTACACCTGCAAGAGAGTAACATTTTAAAGTCTGCATTTTAAAAAGATTGTTCAGCAGCTGTGTGTGGGATGGACTCTGAGGGGAGGGGAGGTGAAGGCAGGAAGCCTAGTAACACTGTGTCAATGAGCAAGTAGAACTAGGCTAAGACTAGGCTGGGGCTGAGTCAGCAGAGCGGAGGAGACCAAACAGATACTAGAAATGCTCAAGAGGCAAAAGAGAAGCAAATGTGGGAGAGAGAAATCTGGGAGAAAGTCCAGGTACCTAGTATGTAAACTGGGTGGATGTTAGGACTGTGACGGAGATAGGGACCAGGAAAGAAGCAGATTGGGGATAGCGAGAGTTCTGTCGAGAGTGTGTTAAGCTTTATGTGCATGGTGCTGGAAATCCAACCTAGTGCTTTGCCCCTGGCTACAACCACATCCTGGGTTGAATTTTGGAGGGGCTTGGGGCAAGACCATGTGGGAAGACTTGGCAGGTGGGCAGCCCTGCAAATGAGGACTTGAGACAGATCTGAGGGACAAAGTAAGAGGGTATGAATTAACTCGTACAGAGGTGAAGAATGTGGTCAGAACTATGGCAAGCCGGGTGCTCACGCCTGTAATCCTAGTTACTCAGGAGGCTGAGATCTGAGGATCGCGGTTCAAAGCCAGCCTGGGCAGGAAAGACCGTGAGACTCCGATCTCCAAGAAACCACCAGGAAACCGGCAGTGGCGCTGTATCTCAAGTGGTAGAGCGCTCGCCTTGAGCTGAAGAGCTGAGGGACAGCGCCCAGGCCCGGAGTTCAAGCCCCATGACCGACAAAAAAAAAAAAAAGCCTAACCTATGGCAAGTGGCCCGTGCCCAGGAGAGGGGCTCAAATGTAGGTTGGACACAAAAGTAGGGCTACACACATATTTGCTGAGAAGAGATTTAGGAATCGAGGCCTTGAAACTGGAAGTGCAGGATAAAGGTCAAAGTTCGGAGGCCCTGAAGAAGGCAGAGAAAGTTGGAGAAAACACGGAAATGAGAGACAAATCTGCAGGCCAGGAGAGGCGCGGCGGAAAGCACCCTGGACGTCCTCTTCAAAAGCGGGATTCCTCTCCCGCAGCAGCAGCTGCTATTCCGAAGCGCAATAGTTTTCTTCCCAGGCTGGGATTTCTTCCCGGGCTACTTCCGCTCCGCTAGCCCCGCCCCGGAAGTGGTCCTTCATTGGCTCCGGTCGAGGGGGAGCGGAATCTCGGAGCTCCCGGAAGTGGCTCAGCGGCGACGCGCCCCGGGCTGGGCCCGCGCTCCCTCCAGCTCCTGGCACCCCGGCAGCCCTGACACGCCGGGCGGGGCCTCGCCATGACCAGCGAGCTGGACATCTTCGTGGGGAACACGACCCTTATCGACGAGGATGTGTATCGCCTGTGGCTGGATGGTTATTCGGGTCCGTGAGTGGCCGGTCAGGAGGAGCGGTTGTTTTGGATGGGAGAAGGGGCGGGACCAGGCCTCGTGCATCCTTTAGAGCTCGCGGGCAGGTGGCTGGGAATAAGGGAGGGAGAAAGATTGGGGCTGGAAGCTCTGCAGCGTCTCTGGGGTCGGCGAGATAGGGCTTGATCCTTGTGCCCACTCTCCAGTGAGCGACGCGGTGGCTCTGCGAGTGCGTTCGGGAATCCTCGAGCAGACGGGCGCCACGGCAGGGGTGCTGCAGAGCGACACCATGGACCACTACCGAACCTTTCACATGCTCGAGCGCCTGCTGCATGCACCGACCAAGCTGCTACACCAGCTCATCTTCCAGATCCCTCCCTCCCGGCAGGCGCTGCTCATTGAAAGGTGCTCACCCGGTGTGGTGACCTATATTCATTTTGCAGGCTGAAACTGAGGCCCAGGGAGGGATGGAACTTCACCAAAGGAACCCAGAAAGTTGAGAGAAAGGAACAACTCAGGCCCCCTTTTCCCTCCTTTATGAAGGGTCAGTGGTGTCCTCTGCCTCTACAAGGTACTACACCTTTGACGAGGCCTTTGTTCGGGAAGTTCTGGGCAAGAAATTATCCAAGGGCACCAAGAAGGACCTGGATGACATCAGCACCAAAACAGGCATCACGCTTAAGAGTTGCCGCAGGCAGGTGAGTGCTGATCCACACGTGGATCACATCCCATATAGTTCACTCATTCCCTCCATTCCTTTGCACACTTGTTGCATTTTGTTCCTTTTTTTCTTTCTTTCTTTTTTTTTGGGGGGGGAAGGTGGGGGGCTCAGTTGTGGGGCCTGAACTCTGGGCCTGGGCGCTGTCCCTCAGCTCTTCAGCTCAAGGCTAGCACTGTACCAGTTGAACCACATTGCCACTTCCAGCTTTTTCTGCTTATGTGGTGCTGAGGAATGGAACCTAGGGCCTCATGCCTGCGAGGCAAGCGCTCTACCATTGAGCCACCTTCTCAGCCCTACTTTTTGTCCCTTTTATATGATCAGATCTGACCATGACTTTCTCTTGATTATATACTTCCATTGGCTCCCATTGCCTCCAGGGTGGCAGTGTACTATTAGTCTTGACCTTCAGACTTCCCTGTGATTTGCTCTCTGCAGGTCAAATCCTTTTAGGTTTACATTCTTCAGTCCCAATCTTCCTTTAGATTATGTTGTTGTTACTTGGAAAGTACAGTTCTTGCCCATATCTACCATTTGAATTTCAGGGCATGGCACTGGATGCTGCCTTCTCCACAAGCCTTTGTGGTAGTGCCAGGGGTAGTAATCCTTCTGGGCCTTTGTTACTTTTCCTTAGTGTCTGTCATGAGCTCTCCATGTACAGCTTAGGATTTGCTCATTTTGAGTAATTTGGACTTACCTAGGAGAATCTGGTTCAAGCTTATGGAGAACCAAAGAGCAAGGCTGGAACAGGACTGAATTAATAATAGAGAATAGTGTTTACTCAAGTCCAGATGGTAGAAGCAAACAAATACCTGTTGAATTGATAACTGCTAATAATAACAAGTAGTTATTGAAGGAATAGCTGCCAAGGGCTGGGAAGGTGGCTCAGTGGTAGAGCGCTTGCCTTGCATGCATAAGGCCCTGGGTTCGATTCCTCAGCACCACATAAGCAGAAAAAAAAAAGCCAGAAGTGGCACTGTGGCTCAAGTGGTAGAGCGCTAGCCTTGAGCTGAAGAGCTGAGGGACAGCGCCCAGGGCCAGAGTTCAGCGCTAGCCTTGAGCTGAAGAGCTGAGGGACAGCGCCCAGGCCTAGAGTTCAGGCCCCATGACCGGACCCAACAAAAAGAAATAGCTGCCAACTGGAGAGGCAGATAAGAGGGAGGGGGGTATTGAGTGAGCATTGATTGGCTTTTGACCAGTTCCTCTCCTCCACTAACCGCTCTGCAGTTTGACAACTTTAAGCGAGTCTTCAAAGTGGTGGAGGAAATGCGGGGCTCCCTGGTAGATAACATCCAGCAACACTTTCTCCTCTCCGATCGGTTGGCCAGGTGAGAGGCCAACTATCTCCCGTCAGCACATGCCTTCCCTAGTCCTTGAGCCTGTTACACTTCAACTCTTTCACCTCCTGGCTGTGCTGGGGAGATGGTTATTCCACTTCTGGAGGTTAATGGGAAATAAAAGTCTTAGGGAGGAAGTGGCGCTGTAACTCGAGTGGTAGAGGGCTCGCCTTGAGCTGAAGAGCTGAGGGACAGCACTCGGGTCCAGAGTTCAAGCCCCACGACCACCAAAAAAAAAAGTCTTAGGGACTTTCCTGTTCAGGCTTCAAACTGTGATTCTCATATCTCAGCCTCCTGAGTAGCTAGGCTTATAGATGTGAGCACCCCGCATTATTTCATTTATGATCTGTACTACAGATCAGGCTGACTTGGGTTCAGATCCTAGCCTGGTTATTTTCTACCTGGGCTTTTATGCGATGGCACTTAGGAAGTATGGAGACATGATAGCTGCTACTCCTCACTGTATCTCTTAGGATACTGAGCTGAATCTTCTCTCTGCACTGTTGAAGAGCCCCATAAGAGGTAGTTATGGGAGAGTCACACAGTGGGGAAAAAAAGACCAGAACTCAGATGGCCAGCCAAGGTTGCAGGTGGAGGCTGCTTGACAAGAAGAAAACTGTTTTAATCCTACAATGTATATTGAGTGAGATGAATATGAAGACATGGTTGTAGGCTTAGTAAGAAAGGATTTCAAGTCTTGAGAGGACCTACACTGTTCCCTGTCTACAGGGACTATGCAGCCATTGTCTTCTTTGCCAACAACCGCTTTGAGACCGGGAAGAAAAAGCTACAGTATCTGAGCTTCGGCGACTTTGCCTTCTGTGCTGAGCTCATGATCCAGAACTGGACCCTTGGAGCCGTCGGTGAGGCCCCCACCGACCCAGGTGCCTGGATCCTTCCCACCCTCTCAAGGCCTGCTTCCTCACCAGCACTTCCTTCTCTAGCCCCCTGGGTCTCAGTGTCCTTTCTTCAGGTCTGCACCCAGACCTCTGCTTATGTAGTCTACTTCTCTCCACCCCACCTTGTCTGAGACCAAGGGCTCCCTCTGTCTGGCCTGGGGCATGTTATTCCACCCACGAGACCCTGTTTCTTCTTCTGTCCTGTGGGGTGCAAGGAGGTGGTGGTTGAGAAAGGCTCTGGCTGTCGTAGATGAGTTTATCACTCACCCCATCTTCCTTCATGCAGACTCCCAGGTGGATGACATGGATGTGGACTTAGACAAAGAATTCCTCCAGGACTTGAAGGAGCTCAAGGTGCTAGTGGCTGATAAGGACCTTCTGGACTTGCATAAGAGGTGACCTTGGGATTCCATGGGAACAGAACCTGCAGTGGGGGCAGAGGTGATTGTAGTATGCCTTTCTTTTTCCCTCAGCCTGGTGTGTACTGCCCTCCGGGGAAAGATTGGTGTCTTCTCTGAGATGGAAACCAACTTCAAGGTCTTTAGCCCTTTCAGCCCTCTCCCCTGGGGAATCTTCAGCTTCTTGGGTCCTAGGTTGGCCAGCAGATGGCACTGCTGTTCCCTGTGCACTTGTAAACAAAGGAACTTGATTGGGGGAGGGAGGGTGTTTTTGGGGACAGACCAGCCTCCAAGCTCAGCCCCCAGAACTCCTAGGATCCTTGCTCCACAGAATCTGTCCCGAGGACTGGTGAATGTTGCTGCCAAGCTGACTCACAATAAGGACGTCAGAGACCTTTTTGTGGACTTGGTGGAGAAGGTGAGCTGTGCTGCCTGCTACCCTCGATCCACACCTGTGCTTTTCCCTAGTCGAACTGGAGATGGTAAATGTTCCCTTGGGCCCACAGTTTGTGGAACCCTGCCGCTCTGACCACTGGCCACTGAATGATGTACGGCTCTTCCTGAATCAGTATTCAGCATCGGTCCACTCCCTGGATGGCTTCCGGTGAGAAACCACAGGCCTCCTGTCAGCTTGTCCTGGCCCCCAACCAGCCAGCCTCCTGGGGCCTCACTCCCCCCTCCCCCACATATGCACCCTTGGGGATCCCCATGTGCTACTTGGAGTGTAAGTCTCTGGTTCTAACCCATAGAATCTGTGTGACCTGGGACACACAGATTAACTTCTCTTTACCTCAGTTTCCTCATGTAAAATGCTACTCTAAGTAGAAGAATCATAAGAATTTATGATTTGTGGGTGTAACTCAGTAATGGATCACTTACCTAGCATATGCAAGGCATTGAATTCAATCACCAGCACCACTAAAAAAAAACAAAGCCAAAGCCAGGCCCTAGTGGCTCATGCCTGTAATCCTAGCTACTGAGGAGGCTGAGATCTAAGGATCATGGTTCAAAGCCAGCCTGGGCAGGAAAGTCTCTGAGACTCTTATCTCCAATTAACCACCAGAAAACTGGAAGTGGTGCTGTGGCTCAAGTGGTAGAGCACTCGCCTTCAGCTGGGACAGCACCCAAGCCCCACAACCACCACCACTACCAACGAAAAACCAAGTGCCAGTGGCTCAGGCCTGTAATCCTAGCTTCTCAGCAGGTTGAGATCTGAGGATCATTGTTCAATGCCAGAAAGTCTGTGAGACTCTTATCTCCAATTAAGCACCACTTCCCCCCACCCAAAAAAAAAAGCTAGAAAGTGGAGCTGTGCCTCAAGTAGATTGCTAGCTATGAGCAACAAAGCTAAGGGATAGCACCCAGGCCCTGAGTTCAAGTTCCAGGACAGGCACCACCACCACCACCACCCCCAAAGAAAAAAAAGGAATTTCTGAGGATTTAATAAGGTATAGGAAACACTTGCAGCCATCTCCGACTCAGGGTTTAAGTGAACATCTGTCACTGTTGCCGTTTTCATTTCAGGCACCAAGCCCTCTGGGAACGCTATATGGGCACCCTCTGTGGCTGCCTCCTGCGCCTCTATCATGACTGAGGCCCTCTCCCTCCATCCTGAACACAGTGACAATAAAATTGCCATGAGTTTGGAGACCGGTCCTGGTTCCTGGGGAGGAGCCCACAGGGCCGTGGGCAGCGTGCAAGTGTATCCTGAGTGCCATGGCTTCTGAGCATGAGGATTCCGTGTACATCAGCCCCTCAGCGACCGGGTCAGATCAGGGTGGTCAGTGCTCTCCTGGCCCCGCCCTCTCCAGATCTCAGCTGAATCTACTAAGGAGCCAGGGGTATTATCTTGGTTTATTGAAGCCATAGAGAAAAGATGGCAAAACCTCATGATGAGTTTGGCAGGGAAGACAGCTGGTGTGCTGGAGAGGCTGAAGGGTGGCTGCCCCGCTCAAGGAGGGCAGATGACTTGCTGCTTCTTAACTGGTCGGTCCACGCGGGCTGTGATCGGATACTTGGTGATACCACAGGCATTGCTCCCCTTGTGGAGCCGGAAGTAGCCCTAGGAAGTTTAGGGACATTAGGGCCAGAAGGTGGATAGGGTCTGTTCTGCCCCGCCCCTTCCCCATTGGGTCAGACTCACCTTCTCACCCCAGTGGGCCCCCCAGGAATTCTTCAGGATCCAGAATGGGGTGGAACGGCTGGGATGACAAGATCCCGATGACACTGTCTTCTCTGCCTTGCTTTTACCAAAACCCACCAGCAGGACACAGTGGTCTACAAGTTGAGGGTCACAGGTGGTGCTTGTGGCTTTGATCACACCCCGTTGGTAATTCTGCAGGGGTAGAGGCAGAGGGGCTGAATCTGGGGTCCCCTTCTTCACATGGCCCTCCTCCCACTCTGCCCCACTTACCTGTAAGAGGGCCTTGTTGATGGTCACAGTGATAGGCCCCTGGGTGGCCAGGTACCGAGCAATTACTGAAGACAGAGAATGCTGTCAGGCTCTGCTGCTCTTGGCACATGGGCATGTTCCTCGTGCCACTTGTCTGTTGTGTGTCTTTTCCCCAGTGTCACCATCACCCCCTGCCCCTCCCCCCTACTGTCTGTAGCTAGGTCTGTCTGCCTCTGTCCTGGCATCTCTTTTCCTCACCACCCCCCCACATCCCCACCCAGATCTCACTTTCTTCATTGTCTGATAACATGATGAAATCCTGGATCCAGGCCACCTTGGTGTACTTCTTGGCCAGGCACCTGTTTGGTTTGGCACGGCCCAGGTATGGGTAGTCCTTTTCGCTGGCCAGACCACCTGGAGACGACAAGACAAGGGAAGAGTCCTGGTTCCTGATCCTCGCTACACGTACACATGCACGCACGCGCGCACCCGTACATACACACACCCCCACACACACCTGCCGCCACCCAGCGAGCCCAAGTACTCACTGTTGTTGAGGACAGTTATGAACGCGTCCCAGATGAAGCCACCCTGGCAGCCATCTCCACAGCGGCCACAGTCAAGCAGCTCTGAAGGCAGAAAGGGACCGTGAACAGGCCCTTCATCTACCCTTCCCTCTCCCCCATCCTCCTCCTTCCCAGCATACCTTGCACCGAGAGTTCTACAGACTGGTGGCTCTTGATGCCCCACTGGGCCTCGATGTTGCCTGCTGCCGCCATGGCCCAGCAGGACTGGCAGTTCTCCTGGTGGGTTAGATAGTAGGGTAGGATAGGGCATCCAAGTCTTGGCCTTCTTCTACCCCTTGGGCTGGGTAAGGCTGAACTGGGCGGGGCACATACCTGGTTCTTGATGGGTGAGATGATACCAGGCTTCTTCCGCCAGTCACAAGTGTGGGGCACCAACTCCCCCCAGTCTTCAGAGCCTACCTTCCTCTCCATGCTGAAGTCTCCTCCAGCTGCCCTCCAATTCCCGTAGAGCTGATCAAACTCCTCCTCTGGGAACAGAGCCATAGAAGTCACAGATTTGACCCTGTCCCCCCCCCCTTTTTTTTTGGCAGTCCTGGGGCTTGAGCTCACAGCCTGGCACTGTCCCTGAGCTGCTTTTGCTCAAGGCTAGCATCACTCTATCACTTGGGCCACAGCACCACTTCCACCTTTTGCTGTTTATGTGGTACTAAGGAACCAAACCCAGGGCTTCATGCATGCTAGGCAAGCACTCTACCATTAAGCCACCTTGCCAGCCCTTGTGTTTGTTTTTTTACTTTGGTTGTGGGACTTGAACTCAGGGTTCTGGATGCTATCCCTGAGCTTTTTTGCTCAAGGCTAGCTCTCTACCATTTCGAACCACAGCTCCACTTCTGGTGTTTTGAGCGGTTAATTGGAGTTTCACCAGGACTTTTGTGCTAGGCTGGCTTCAAACCTCAATCCTCAGATTTCAGCCTCCTGAGTGGCTACGATTATAGATCTGAGCTACCAGCCGGGCTACTTCCAGCTTTTTGTCTTTTGATTTTTTTTTTTTTTTTGGTTGGTCATGGGGCTTGAACTCTGGACTTGGGTGCTGTCCCTCAGCTCTTCAGCTCAAGGCTAGGGCTCTACCACTTGAGCCACAATGCCACTTCCTACTTCCAGCTTTTTGATGGTTAATTGGAGATAAGAATCTCTCAGCCTTTCTTTCCTGGCCTGGCTTCAAACCAGGATCCTCTGACCTCAGCCTCCTAAGTAGCTAGGATTACCAGCATGAGCAATAGACACCTGGCTACTCCACTCTTGATACCTTCTCCCAGTCCAGCTAAGTGCATCCTTAGTCATTTGCATCCCTGTATCGGATGCATCAGGCAGAAATACTGAGTCCTCTAGTCTGGTCCCTGAGCTGCCTTGGATGCAGGCCAGCAGGGCTCCTGCTCCTGAATTCTGGGATGGAACAGATACCTAGTTTAGTGCTTCAAGTGAACACTATTCTGTTTATCTGCTGTATCCCTAGAAAATTGCTTCTTTGCTCGCTGCCTACAGTCCAGGGGAGTCTCAGTACCTGTGAGGTCACTGAATGGAGTCACCCCAAACTCAGCTGTGCCCAAGTCCTCTTCTTGTAGCCGCTGAGCCCGGATCAGGTTGTGGGCAAAGATGTCCAGACGGCGAGCATGCTCTGGACCAAAACGGATTTGTCTCAGACTGACTCCCTAGAGGCAGGAAGTGGCCACTGGCCGGGCTTCCGGCCACCCACCCCCACCCAGGTGAGCACAGACTCCTTTTCTATAGCCTCCACAGTTTCCACTGTAGACACTGGGCCCAGGAAGTGGTTATCCAGTTAAGTGTTAGGTCCCCCGAGGCAGCAAGGGGGGCATCTGCCCACCCTGAGAAGAAGCAAAACCCAGAGTCCGTAGGCAGTGACTCAGAGGGGGAGACTGAGTGAGTAGCTAGGGACAGGCTTCCGGCCCTGCCACCATTTTGTCCACTTCACACCTCACATCGGAAGCTGCAGGGGGGAGGGTGCCGCATTGTCTTGCACCGACCAGCACTTGGTGGAAAATGAGACCTAAAGAGAAGGGAGGAGGAGCAGGACCTTCTCCGTTCTTGGAATGGTGGTGACAAGGAATGCCATCATGGGCACACAATGCGGGGACTGGTGAGAGAACACCTGATTTGATAGTCCATCAGTCCCATGCTTGTAATCACTGGGAGTTGATGAAGGAGCCAGAGGATCCTAATTTAAGGCTGGGGCAGATGCCTGTCAGCCATCATGAAATCCTCCAGCTTCAAGGTACAGGACAACCCTGTGTTCACCCACGCCCTGGACACATGAGCCAGTACAACTCCAGTCCTGTGTCCTGCTGGGTGGGATGGATCAAGCCTAGTCCCCAGCCTAAACCTCCAATTCTGTGTCTTTTTTCTTTTTTAAGTGCCAGCCCTAGGGTTTGAACTCAGGGCCTGGGTACATTCTTGAGCCTTTTCTGCTCAAGGTAGTATTCTACCACTTAACCACTTCAGGCTTTTTGGTGCTTTGTTGAAGATACAAGCCTTAGACGTATCTTCTTCTCCAGACTGGTTGTGAACTATAATCCTCAGATCTCACCCTCCTGAGTAACTAGAATTATAGGTGTGAGCCACCAGCGCCCTGCTCAAGTTCTCTTTTTTTCTTCTTTTTAAAAAATTTTTTATAGTCATATCTTTTATTGTAAAGATACTATACAGAGGGGTTACAGTTACATGAGTAAAGTAATGAGTACATTTTCTATTGAGCATTATTACCCCCTCCTTTAAGCTCTTCATCTTTTTTTTTTTTTGGGTCCGGTCATGGGGCCTGAACTCTGGGCCTGGGTGCTGTCCCTCAGCTCTTCAGCTCAAGGCTAGCGCTCTACCACTTGAGCCACAGCACCATTTCCGGCTTTTTTCTTTTTGCTTATGTGGTGCTGAGGAATCAAACCCAGGGCCTCAGGCATGCAAGGCAAGCGCTCTACCACTGAGCCACCTTCCCAGCCCTAAGCTCTTCATCTTAAATGGGGTGTTTCAACTAGAAATATATGTGCCCCATGATACCTGTTGGGTTTGAGTAACTCCGGTTGAACTGGATCTGGAACATCTTGAAGACTTCTTTCAGTTCCAATGGCTGGGGACCAGAGCCCTGGCACAGAATGGCAGGGAGAGGGGGGAGAGGGGAGAACTCATTGCTGGGAGTCTGCCTTAGCTATACCCCAGCAAGGCTTGAGCATGACAGATGTCTCCCACATCAAGTGCTCCCCCTGAGAAATGGAGGCTAGTTGGCTGTTTCTGAAGAGGAGCCAGTTGTGAGAAGCAGCTTGGCAACACTTACCTGAGCTCCAGGAGAATTCCAGAAGCCATGGGCTTGGCCTGACACCATCAGGACCAGGAGACAGGAGAGCTGGGCTGTCAGTGCCATGGTGTGCAGCCTTGAGTGCCGAATGCAGGGGCAGGAAGCTATGCAGATCAAGTTGGAGGGGGTAGGGCTGGGGAAACACCCAAGGACATCAGGCTTGGGGTAGCAGGTAGACCCTAAAGCATGCGTGTAGGCTGCCTTCCGGACATTTAGGCCTGCTTAGCTTCTTTCCATCCTCCTTTTTTTTGTCAATTCCACAGCTCTAGGCCACTCCACTTCAGGGCAACTCTAGGGAGACAAAGACAGAGCTGTCCTTCAGGGGACTGGAAGGCAGATCTGAAGCAGACAGTGACAATATATAGACATGATGGGAAACCCAAGGGGCGTAGGCCAAAAAGACCCCTAGAAACCAGGCAGAGATAGAAAATGATCAGTGCCCTCTTGACAGCTATTCATGCTCCTGTTAAGCTCAGCCATCTCCTAGAAACTTTCCTAGCTAGGTGCTAGTAGCTCACTGCTGTCCTAGATATTCAGGAGATCTGGGGATCTTAATTCAAAGCTAGCCCAGGCAGTAAAGTCTGAGACAATTTTTTTTCTGGCCCTAGGACTTGAACTCTGGGCCTGAACACTCTCCCTGAGCTATTGTGCACAGGACTAGCACTCTACCTACTGCTCCATTGCCCTTTTTTGATAGTTTTTAGTGGAGATTAGAGTCTCATGGAGTAATCCTAGCTGCTCAGGAGGCTGAGATCTAAGGATTATGGTTTGGAGCCAGCCTAGGCAGGCCCGGGTGCTGTCCCTTGAGCTCTTTTGCTCAAAGTTAGTGCTCTACCACTTTGAGCCACAGTGCCACTTCTGGTTTTTGAGTGGTTAAATTGGAAGATAAGAATCTCACATGGACTTTTGTGCTGGCTGTCTTCAAGCCATGATCCTTAGATCTTAGCCTCCTGAGTTGCTAGAATTACAGGTGTGAGCCACCAGTGTCCACCTTATGAGATTTCTTTGTCTCCAATTAATCACAGAAAAAGCCAGAACTAGCAGAAATAGTGTTGTGGCTCAAGTGTTAGAGTGCTAGCCTTGAGCAAAAAATGGAGGTCAGGGACAGTGCCCACGCCCAGAGTGTGAGCCCCAGGACCCGCAAAGGAAAACAAAAAAGTCTCATGGCTTGTGAACTTTCCTGCCTGGGCTGGCTTTGAACCATGATCCTTAGATCTCAGCCTCCTAAGTACTAAGGCGTTAGCCACTAGAGCCTAGCTTCTGTAAGACTCTTATCTCTCTCTTATCTCTAATTAATTAACAAAAAACCAGAAGTGGAGCTGTGGGTCAAGTGGTAGACCACCAGCCTTAAGCAAAAATATCTAAAATATAACATCCAGATCTTGAGTTCAAATTCTCTAACAGCATATGCACACACAGAGTTTTCTCTGCTCCCCAACCTCTGGTATAACCATCCACAGTACCATGACCCCTTGCCAAACCTATGTCCATCCCCATCTGCCTCCCAACTACACCAAGTCTCTGGTTCAGCCAAGCACTGGTGGCTCACACCTGTCATCCTAACTATTCAGGAGGCTGAGATCTGAGGATTGCATTTCAAAGTCAGGAAGGAAAGTCTGTGAGATTCTTTTTTTTTTTGGTTGGTCGTGGGGCTTGAATTTTGGGCTTGGGCACTGTCCCTGCGCTCTTCAGCTCAAGGCGAGTGCTCTACCGCTTGGGCCACAGAGCCACTTCTGGTTTTCTGGTGGTTTTTATTGGAGATAAGAGTCTCGTGGACTTTCCTGCTGGGGCTAGCTTTGAACCTCGATTCTCAGATCTCAGCCTCCTGAGTAGCTAGGATTACAGGTGTGAGGCTCTGGCTCCCAACAGTACATGAGATTCTTATCTCCAATTAACCACAAGAAAAGCCATGTTGGAGCTGTAGCTCAGAGTGGTAGAGTACTAGGCCTTGAGCAAAAAAAAAAAAAAATGTCCCAAAATCTCCTGCCCATGATGCCCACTAGGGTCACTGAGGCTTTCTGAGAAGTCGATTCCAAGTAGCAAGTTCTCCTGGGCCTAAGTGCAAAGTTGGAGGTTCAGGTTCAAGTTTGAGTCACCAAGTATATAGTCATTCCCCTCTGGGCCTCAGTGTTTCATCTTTGTGGCAGCAACAATTCTCTTTGAAGTTTGAATGAAATGACAGTGGACACCCATCAGCCTGGCCACCTGTTCACATGGTGGCTTCTTAACATTGATAAACACTGATATGGGACCCAGTCAGAATCTTGGAGACAGCGGGACTTGAATCCTCATGCTGTCCTTACCACTCTGGCTGTACCTAAGACAAATCTTTCAGCCACCCTCATTTGTGAAAGGGAGTGGTAACACCATCCCATTGTCCCATCTTAGCTTGGCAGAATCGAATGAGGTCCTTGCCACTGCCTAGAATGGTTAAATCTTAATAATCAGGTGAGGATTTTTTCTTGTTTTTGCTTCCTCCTCTTTTTTTCTTTTTAATTGGTCCTGGGGCTTGAACTTAGGGTACGGGCACACTGTCCCTTAGCTTTTTCACTCAAGGCTAGTAAGTGCTATACCACTTGAGCCACAACTCTACTTCTGGCTTTTTTTTTTTTTTTGGTATTTAATTAGGAGATAAGTGTCTTAGGACGCCTATAATCCTAGCTACTCAAGAGGTTGAGATCTGAGGATTACAGTTCAAAACCAGCCCTAGCAGGAAAGTCCATGAAACTCTGATCTCATATAAACCACCAGAAAACCGGAAGTGGTGCAGTGGCTCAAGTGATAAGAGCTTTGAGCTGACAGCATCCAGGCCCAGCATTCAAGTCCCACGACCATGACCCCCACCACCACCAACAACAAAAAGAGTCTTAGGGACTTTCCTGCACAGTGTGGTTTCAAACTGCAATCCTCTGGTCTCAGCCTCATGAGTAGCTAAAATTACAGATGTGAGCCACCAGCTCCTGGTCAGGTCTGGCTTCTTTTACTTAGTGCTTTGTTTTCAATATTCACCCATATTGGAGTAGTATCAGCATTTCAGTCCTTTATTTATTCATTTATTTTTGTAGCTGAATACAAGAATGGATAGACCAAGATTTGTCAGGGGATGGACATTGGCTTCTTTCTACCTTTTGGCTGTTATAAATAGTGCTGCTTTAGCTGGGCGCTGGTGGCTCACCACGCCTGTAATCCTACCTACTCAGGAGGCTGAGATCTGAGGATCAGGGTTCAAAGCCAGCAGGGGCAGAAAAGTTCATGAAACTCTGATCTCCAATAAACTACTAGAAAACCAGAAGTGGGGG